TTTCCATGCCTGTGGGCACACAGGCACTGCCAGTCACCCCCCACCTGTCCACCTGGGACTCGGAAGAGGGGGCGGAGCTGTGCTGAGGGGCATCGTCCCAGTGGCCCCCAGACTCTCAGAGCCTCCAGGGTCACCGTGAGCCTCCAGCATGACCTCCGTGCGGCTCAGTGTGGCTCAGTCTGTGGGCGACAGTGTCTTCTCCCTCTAGTCCTGCCACCCCTGGAGGAGTTCTGGGCCAGCACATAATCTCTGGTGCGGCCCTGGACCTGCCTGTGTCGCATTTCCACCCCCAGGACCCCTGCGGTCCCTGAGTTGGTCTGGGAAGTTATGCGGCCATTTTTAACTCCTCGAGGGTGAATCCTGTTCTGAGCCTCGGGGTGTGGCGTGGTGGCTCAGGACTCGTTTGGAAATCTCAAAGGGCCACATGGCCTTGGGAAAGTCATGGCCTATCTCCTGGCCTCAGTTTCCCCACCTTCAACACGGGTGGGTCAGGCTCTGCAGTCTTAGGAGGGCTCTTCATGGGCCAACAATTTTTATGAGGCTGACGGAGGATTTGCGACTCACTGGTGCGGACTGTATCTGAGCTCCGGGAGCCTCTATCTAATCCTGGGCTCAGGTCCGGGAGGAAAACCAGAGCTTCTAGGTCTGGGATTGCTAAGGGACTCTCTCTCTCTGGCCTTGGAAGGCTTTGTCAGCCCCCAGGCCCTGCACACTGCCCTCCCCACAAGTCACACTCCCTCGCAACAAGTCACAGCCATGTGGGGAGACGGCTCAGAGGCCTCCTGGCTCTCAGACACACAACCGTGGAGGTGGAATGTGCACACGGGGCATCCACACACAGAGCGCCCCTCAGATGAGAGGTGCAGGCCAGATCCTTGAGGGGTGTTGGAAGTATGTGTGCTTACAAAGCTACCCTGCAAGGCAGACAGTGCATCCATTTGACAGATGAGGAAACTGAGGCTAGCGAGGTCACATGACTCGCGGGATATGTCCCAGCTGGAGAGAGACAAAGCGTGGATCGAAAGGTGGGCCTGAGTCCTTGTGGTCATGGGGAAACCAGACCAAAGTGCTTAACTGCACTGCAGAATCAAATCAGGGGCCACCGATTCCAAGTTGGGCCAATCAAGGGGGCTGCAGGGATCTGCAGGTGGCATTGGATCTGGGACCTGAGGGCCCAGAAGTGAGGTGAGGCAGCCCAGCACAGACTCTGGGCTCTGACAGTCCCAAGTTCAAATCCTGCACTTGCCTCTGTCCACCACAGGAATTCGGCTGCCTCTCTGCAGTTCCATCCTCTGTGAACAGGGGCTGGGTAGGACCCATCTCATGGGGTTGCCATGAGGACAGAGTGGAGGAGATGCAGCTCAGGACCAGCAGGACGAAGCATGCACAAGAGCTCAATAAATGTGGCTGTTGCTACTATTATGATTTCCATTATCACTATAAAGAACCAGCACTCATTCAACAGCAACGTTTCCACAATTACTTCCAGCAACTCTGTCTGTGAACCAACCATCACAATAAGGTCGGTCCTCATTCCTCAGGGGTCCCCGAACTCATGACCTGTGAACGTGGCAGGAGGTGACCTCCGCCTCTGGGGATTCTCCCCTTCTGGGGGGAAATGGGAGAGACCACACTGGCTCCTGCTGTATTCTCCAGAAAGCTGGAAGTGATGGCAAAGCATTTTACAAAGTTACCAGGACGATGAACCTGAGCCGCCTCCCTCCCCGCACTGTCTCAATAAAATAAATCTTGGCCCACGGCTGGCGAGAGACCCTATATATTTACATGACGATGGTGCCTCATGATCACAGGGCTCGTGGTTGCAGCAAGCAGCGTGTGGCAGGGATGACAGTGGTCCTAGGAGACTCACTATTTTCCAGCGACTTTTATTGTCCATTATATCCCGGCGTTTACAGGGCTCTGCTCCGGGCCTGGCAGGAATATCACACATGGTGGGGCTGGCAGGCCTTAATATTCCAGTCTCGGTGCTGCAGATCAGCTTTCGCATCTCATCCATCCCCCTCTCCCCAAGTCTTTGTGTGATACTGAGACCCCAGGGAGCTCCAGGGGTTCTAAAGGGAAAGGGTTGTGGGGAGGGGTCTAGGTATGCCCACCCAAGCCATCTGCTTGGTTCCAGTCTGTCGTCCCATAAAGGGGACACTACCAACATTGTGGCCTTCCTTGGGCATGGGAGGGGCTGCAAAGTGGAGGGGTGCATGGGGTACTGGAGCCATGAGTCCTGGCTTGTGGGGGGCTGCTGGCTAAATTCTCAGGGATTCTGTGAGACAGTTATCATGTTGGTTGCCTGCACTCAGGCATGGCAGGATATTTATTCCATGGAAATTGGCAAATGCTACAAATCAAGGCTTTGTGCAAATCCCCCTCCCTCCCATCCCACCACCCCTCGGCCTGGGGACCTATTTGTTAAACACCAGCATAGCCCAGGGAGAGGGTGACCCAGCAGGCCACTGTGAGCACCAGGAAGGACACACGGACTTAAAAGTCAGGTGTGAATTCTGACTTCCTCACACTTCACTTGTGTGTGACCTTAGGTAAATGACTTCACTTTTTTAAGCCTCACCTTTCTTATTTGTAAAATGGGGACATACCTGAATTCCCAGGTTGTTGTAAGGATTACAGCACCTCACAGCAAGTTCCCTGGGTGATGCTTAGTATATATAGCGGGTGCTTAATAAACGATACCTATTGTTATTCATTGATTCACACTTACTGAGCACCTACTCTGTACCAGGCCCTGAGTGACAGGGATACAGAAAGCCCCACAGGATGACAAATATAAAATTCTTCACATCTGGACAGTTCTTGACTGTTCTGCAGATGCATTTTTACCCACACCATCTTATGAAGCCTCAGGACAACTTTGAGAGGTGGGCACAGAAGGAGAGATGCCCATTTCTGAAACGAGGAAATAGGGGCTCAGGGCTGGAGGTGACTTGCCTGAGGCCCCTGCCAGGGCCTATCAAAATAGGGCTCAGTCCCAATTCCACTCCAGGCCCATGATGGCACCCATCTCTAAATTCTCAGGTTCAGCCAGGCTGGCCCCCTGATGGTGCCAGGAGAACCCAGGGCGAAGGGACTCCTGGTCTAGGATCCCGGGTTCTAATCTTGGCTCCATGGCCTCCCTGCTCTGGGTCCTTCCCCACCTGGGCCTGCAGTTCCCCATCGGAAGGCTGAGAGGGCTGCACTCAGGGTGCTGTTGGCCCTGATGGGTGAGGGTCTGCCTCCAGACTTCCTGGCTTGGCTGAATGTCCCTCTGTCCCCCACAGTCAGGGAGGACTCATGCATATAAACATCTCCGGTGCCCTAGCCGGAGCCCCGAAGAACCAGAGCCTCTTAAGCAGGAGAGAAGACAGCATGAGTGGGGTCTCCCGTCCACTTATTTGGGGCTTGCCAGCTCACCCTGCTGGCGAGGCTCACCCACCCATTTCGCAGATAAGGAGACTGAAGCTCAGAGAGGGGTGGTGTCACCAGCTTGGGAACTGGGATTCACCCCCTGGGCTAGCAGCCTCCAGAGCTTGTGGCTGGGGTGCCCGCCAAGCCCCTCGGTCCTGACGTCTGCAGATGGGACAGTCTTGGCCACCGGGCCTCAGCCCAGAGGGGTTGAGGAGCATTTTGCTGAAACAAGACAGCAAGAAAAGTACAGGCAACTTTGATGACTCAAATAACCTTTGAAACTAGGAGGTGGGCGGAAGTGGGCAGCATTTCTGGTGGGTTTCACCTCACTTCCTAGAAGGATGCGTCACCAGCTTTAGTTTAGTCAGTGCTCACCCGACCGTCAACGCGGATCCGCGCTCTGGGTGGCATGTCTCAGCTCACTTGTCCCCAAGGCAATTACAGGCTGGCAGGTGGGGGCCGTCCAGTCAAGGCAGGGGGTGGAGGGAGGGAACTCTTCTCATTTTACAGATGAGGAAACTGAGGCTCAGAAAGAGGACAGGGGTTGGTTCAGAGACACAGAGCAGGTACCTAAGTTCAAATTCCTTTGCCAGAAGGTTAATTTTTCTCTTTGGGGAGATAGAAAAGGAAAGCTTCTGCAGCTTTCAAAAGAAAAAAAGGGAAGGAAAAAGAACTAGCAGCTGAATGGAATTGCAACAAGGCCCCTGGCCAGCCCGAAGAGGTTTCCGAAATTCTGTACAGTCTGAATTCTTGTGGGCTGAGGGGTCACGCGATTTCCTCTGCAGAAGACGAGTTGAAACAGTCTGACTGAGGGGGCAGAGGGAGGGGGGAAGTGTCCACGAGACGAGGAATCATGAGTTTCTGCCTGGCTGCTCTGATGACTTGCTGGATGACCACGGACGAACCCCTTGCCCTCTCAGGGCCTCAGTTTATCGATACTCATTGGAAAAGACTCTGATGCCGGGAAAGATTGAAGGCAGAAGGAGAAGAGGGAGACAGACAATGAGATGGTTGCATGGCACCGCCGATTTAATGGACATGAACTTGGGCAAAGTCTGGGAGGTGGTGAGGGACAGGGAGGCCTGGCGTGCTGCAGTCCATGGGGCCACAAAGATTTGGACACGACCTGGTGACTGAACAACAACAACAGTTTACTATGCATTGAGCCTTGTTCTAATGCACTTAAGTGAGGTTAACCTCCTGATCCCCTTATAGTACAGGATTAGCTCCATTTTACACAAGGGGGAAACTGAGGCACAAAAAGGTCAGGTGTGCTGTCCAGCATAAGTGGAAGAACTGGGGTATGAACCCACATAGTGTGGCTCTAACCAGTGAGCCACAAAGCCCTCAGCCTGCAGAAGGTGTATCACCAGATTCCCTTCTGCCCTCAAGGGCTTTGCATCTGTGTCTTGGATGCCAGAAGGCAGATTTCTAGAGACCCCGAGCCATCCTTCTTAACTTGCCTGCTGCTCTCAGCTGCTACCTTGTCCACGAACTCTGATTCCTTCGCTTTGCTCAGCAGCCTTTATAACCACAGCCCAGGAGACCCCCAGGAAACTCCCAGGTCACAGCAGCCATCGACCCACCTCTTTGAGGCTCACTGGGGGCCCAGAGTCCAAGCAGGCATGGACGACCCTGCTCTGATGTCCATTTTGGAGTTTTACACTCAGGTCGGCCTCTGGGACCGCAGGAGGGAGACTGCCATTCAGACATCCAAGACAGAGAAAAACATCTATTCACAGCCAGACAGAACCTGCTCTTTGGAAATGATGCTACCAACGCGACAAGCAGCCCAGCTGGGCAAGAGATTCCCGAATAAGCCTGACCTGGGAACATCCACGTGGAAGGCTCAAAGGCTTGGGTAGTCACCAAGCTTATAAAATCTGTCTGGATGCTCAACCGTGAAATTCCTGAGGGAATAAGGTTCTGACCCAAAACCTGGACTTGTCTTCCAAAACAGAATTCTTCAGACAACGGACATTTTTTGGCCTCGACAAACAGACTGCTAATCTCTGTGTCACTCGGGTCGCTCCAGGAAGATGCACTCACGATGAGAACGTGCTCCCACTCCGAGCCATGTGCTGTATCACATGTCTGGGTCCGCTGGGTCATTCCCAGGGTGGGCGTTACTATCTCCATTTTGCAGGTGGGGAGGCTGAGGCTCAGAGAGGTGCCGATTCCCACAGCTGGGAAAGGTGGAGGTTGAAATCCTGTGCCTGCCTGGAATGTGGGGAGTTGGGGATGAACCCGGCGGAGCCTGGTGTCCACATCATGAAGGGGAGCTCCAGCCAGACAAGGACACACAGGGGGAGTTCTGCGGGGCGGGTGCATACGGAGTCTCAGGTGTTGGACAGAGAACTTTTAGAGGAAGATACACACTTCCCTCTAAAAGTGGGAAGAACCCCTGTGGAGGGACAGGTGGGGAGGGCTGACGCAACGGCAGTCAGGACCACGCCGTCGAGGCTGCTGCAGTCCAGGCTTTCCCCAGACACTGGAATCCACTAAGCGGGAATGTTGCACAGAGAACCCAGACATCTCCCACGTAGTGTTCTACCACTGCACCAGCAGCAGGCGATCGTCCAACAAACACGCTTCCAGCCACCACCACACCACTGCTCTATTCCCGGGAGCAGGAAAAACCCCGAATCCACTCATCTGAGGTCTCATGTCTCACCAGAGACCTCAGAATAACCTCCCAAAGAAGCCACCAGCCCACTTCCTGTGCTTGAAAGCAGAAGGACAGGAAACAGGCTCGGAGCAGAGAAGTGATGGGTCCAAGGACCTTCAATCATTTGTTCAATCGACTGGAACCAGTGTCCATCCTCAGTGGGGCTCCCCATTTAGAGAGAGAGAGGAGTCTCATAAGCCAACACACCTACAAGCCAGTGTGACAGCTGCTTTGCACACCCAGAGTGTGGAAACACAAGAAAGGGTCTTGCAGTCTGCCCAAAGAATGGGGGGTGGGGGGGTGGCGGTGTTTCTTCAGAAGAGGAAGCTGCTCTGAGCGGAGGAGCAGGAGGAGGGCACTCCAGGCAGATGGCACAGCCTGTGCAAAGGCCTGGAAGCTGGGTGGGCCTGGCATTACGTGTGGGACAGAGGCCCTAACAACAGCGATGGCCTCAGCTCTGCAAATGGGCGGGGAGGTGGCGGGGAGCGACCATGAGCACAGAGAGCCAGTAAGGTGTGCAAAGCCAGCACCAGAACTCGGGTCTCCAGGCTCCCCTTCCAGGTTCTTTTGCACACTCTACCACCCATGGTACCAAGCTGAGGTATGATTTTACTCAATGAGTTACATGATGAATGACAGCCCCCGTCACAGTTCAGTAGCATCAAGCCTCTGCCAGCTACACGTACGCTGACCTCCCCACCCCTGCCTTGGTCATCTCCGGTGACCGTCACAGACAGGAGGAAGGAAATGCCTACAGAATCTCCCTCTCGAGAGACCCTTCTGAGGCTGTAGCTCACGAGGGCCACGGAGTGTACATTCTGGGCTCCAAGACATGCCCTCCTATTCGCTGAGTATTCACTGAGCACCGACTGTGTTCCAGGCTCCATGCTAGGCACCAGAAGCATTCACGAAAGGTGGTTACAAACTCTTGTACAGCATCCCCTAACTCAGAAACAGGCAGGGCTGGAAACTACTCCTATTGCCCAAGAGAGGCCAAGAGAGACGCTGAGAGGCCCGAGACTCGCTTGCTCAAGATCACTTGGCCAGGAGGTGTCAGGCTGGGACATGTCTCCGGAAACGACTGGTCACAGGGCCTTTGCCAAAAGAGATAAGAGTCCCCGGGGAAACAAAAGAGCCTGGGATCCCTCCTTCATGCCCTGCAGGCTGCCCTTTACCCACACAGCAGGCAGAGGCCGCACTGGCAGGCACCACCCAGAGTGGCGGGGCCCTGTCACACTGGGAGGGGCCCCTCTCCAGCCCGGGGAGCCCGGACGTGGCTGGCGGCTCGTGCAGGACAAGGAGCCGCTCTCGGCTCTAAGCTACCCGGGCTGGTGCCACCGAAGAACTACATGCTTGTGGCCAGCGAGTCCAGGATGCAGAGCAGTGGGGTCAGCGAGCCCTGCCCGGGTCCCCTCCTGGGTCTCGCAGTCTATACAGTGGGGGGCTATGACTCTCCTTCCTGGTCTGGGGTCCTTGTGCACATCTGTCTCCTCCGTGGGAATGCTGGCGGGACCCCTGGGTACCCTGGTTAACCCCACGCAAATGGCCGCAGACAGTCCAGAGGACTATGGCTCAGCTATGCCCTACCCTCTCCCCTGGACCAGGTCAGACAGCATCCCTACAAAACTCACACGGGGTCTTTGCAGACGCAATCAAATTAAGATGAGGTCGCACAGGATTAGGGTGGCCCTAGATCCAATGGCTGGCATCTTCATAAGCAGAGGGAAACCTGAACGCAGAGACACACAGGAAGAAGGCCTCTGGTGACAGAGGCAGAGGTAGGAGAGGTGTGTGTATTCGCCAGGCAACACCAAGGACTGCTGGTAAGCAGCAGCAGCCGGGAGCAAGGCACCCAACGGACTCGCCCTCAGAGCCTCGACAAGGAGCCACCGCTGCCAACACCTTGATTTTGGACCTCTGGCCTCTAGGACTGTGAGAGAATCAGTTTCTGTTGTTTTAGTCCACCCCACTGGCGGGGATTTGTCACAGCAGCTCGAGGAAATGAACACGCTCCCCACCACCGCCGCCCCCCACCCCCCCCCCCGGCCAGCACAGCTGGCCTTCCCCGTGTAGCCGAGGTTTCCCGGGTTCTCCAGGCATCAAAAACTCCCTCAGACTCAACTTCTGTTTCGGGTGCTTCAGAGGACGTTAATTAGTGATGGGCTTCCCCTGTGGCTCAGTAGTAAATAATCTGCCTCCAATGCAGGAGATGCAGGAGATGTGGGTTGGATCCCTGCGTTGGGAAGATCCCCTGGAGGAGGAAATGGCAACCTGCTCCAGTATTCTTGCCTGGGAAATCCATGGACAGAGGAGTCTGGTGGGCTACAGTTCATGGGGCTGCAAAGAGTCTGACACAACTGGGCAACTGAGCACAGGCCTAGGGATTTCACAGGACTGTAAAGATTCTCCCAAATTCTGAAGGTGGACATAAGGTTGCCAGCGTTGTCTGACATCTAAAATGCTATTTCTATCTATCGTCACCATCCTGCATGAAAGGACACCCGACACAAGAAAGTGGCTGCGGCCAGACCTGTCCTTAAGGTTCTCATGTCACCAAGGGTCACGAGAAAGCCGCACAGCCCCAGACCTGGCCTGGGTCTGGGGTTTGGGAACCAAATTCCAGCCGCTGTGCCCCTCCTGGGTGACTTTTTTTAATCCTCGCTGAAGAAAAGGGAGGCTGGCCTCCTCTAATCTCCTCTGACTACGAAAAGGAGGTTTCTCCATCTCAGAGACTTGACAAGTATATTCCAGTTAACCTGTGGGTAATTCCAGTTAATCTCCTCTGAGGACTCGGTGATCTCCCAGCCAGAGGGCGGAGGCATTCCGGGCCAGTCAATGAGGGAGGATCGAGAGGGAAAGAAAATAAAAGAGGAAAAAGGAGGAGGGAGAAGGAGAGAGAATCACTGACCCTTCTTGTGAAAAGAAAACCGAATTGTGAAATTATGCAACGAGCAGACATCACGGGCCGGATGACTCCAGCCTTCCTCAAAGACACCTCGTAAACCCGCGCCCAGCCTTGGAGGGAGAGGCCAGATGCCTGGCGCTGCAGGGAGGGGCTTTCGAAACATCTGGCCCCGGGGGGCGGCCCAATGACCCAGTGGAAGCCAGTCACCCTGAGCTCTGTGCCCGCAGAACCCACGTCTACCGTGTGGTGACCAGTGAGGTGGCCAGCAGAGTTGCTGAGGATCACAAGCTGTCTGAGTTCAAGGAATGTTTCTTTTCCAGTAACTCAAGAGTGCTAATCCCATCTTAGAGATGCCCCCAACGCTGGGAAACTTTCTGCCCCACCATGCCGGGGTGGCCTTGCCTGGACAGTCTCAGGAACCTTAGATGATAAGGCCAGACGTCCTCGCCTTTCCAGGGCTGGCGTCCATCTCTCCCTCCCTCCCCTTCTACACGCCCAGGCCAGGGGCAGGGTGGGCCCCAGTTCTCAGGAAGCCAGGAAACACACTCTTTTCTGGGCTAAATGCCCAGATTCCTTGAGCAGTCACAGGACACGCTTTTTCTGAGCCGATCCAAAGCCACAGGCGCAGTCTGAAAGTTTCTTTGGGCGGCGTGAACCTGCAGGCACCCAGGCACACCTGGAATTCCAGGCTGAAGGCTGGTCAGCAAGAGAGGCCCCAGCTGGCCCCCGATGGGCAGGGGGTCCATGCTGCCTCGGCGGGTGACCGAGGGCACAGAGTTGTGCTCCGCGGGCCTCTGTTTCCTTTCCAAGAAAACGAGGTTCTTTCATTCCGTCATCATTTGCCAGGCTTTTCTTGAGAGGCTCACGGAGCCAAGGGCTGTCTGAGGCGCAAGGCAGAGAGCCTTGTCCCTCTAGAGGTGTGTGGTCAAGAGGTGGATCCAGACAAGGCAGCAAGCAGACATGGCCATTTCAGACTCAATAAGTGCTATGGGGAAAACGCAACTGAGGAGCGGGCTGCGGTGGAACAAATAAGGCTTCATGGGGTCGCTGGGACAATTAAATCAGATCGTGCAGCAAACTGCTTAGCAAACAATCGGTAGGGCAACCAAAGCCAGAAAGAGAAGGGCTGGAGCAGGTGGT